GTATCTCAAGCACAACCTTTCTAATTAGTCGCCAATTATGTACTCCTGCCCTTGTAAGGTTCACAACAACCCCGGTACCTACATTCTAACCGTCTTTTTACCCAGATTCTCTATTGGTCCCTCCCTTACTTCCAGCCGGCAACCCGGACGGGTTGGTCTGCCCAGACTTTAGATGCCTGAAGGACGCCCTCCTCTTGGTCCATACTTTCGGAGCATATGGCCTTTTCCTCTGGTGCGTCTAACCCGGTGGTTCGGCTAGTGTGTCCCCCCACTAAAGGACCTAATCGCTCAGTTCACCCAGTTCAAATTCAGCCTTCATGTAGTACCGTTGAAGATCACTGCTACCTCCCAACTTGGGACTTCCCAAACGGGCTTCGATCTCCGGTCCTGTGACCCGTGCTATGCACAGCCCACAGATTATAGCCTTCTGGAATTACCTCAACGGTGCTACCAGACACCGTCTTGACAGATCCTCCATGGGCCAACCTTAGTGAAGATTGTCGCAGACTTTTCCCATATTACAAAAGTGCCATCCCTGGGATTTGAACATGAGATCTTTCTATAATGTTTGGTGAGGGTAACAACTAGACCACTTCACTAAGTCGCCACACCTCTAATTACATAATTATTACATAACACTTTTATTATATATAAAAAAAAAAAAAATCGAACATACAAAAAAAAACCATCACCAAAACAACAATAAAAAAAAAATTGAGCCCAAATCACCAAGCCAAACCAACGAAGTTATAACACTAGCACAAGGAGAAAAAAAAATCGAGTCCAAATTGTCAATGCCAAAACAATGAAGTTATATCTCCAGCACAGAAAAAAAATAATTGAGCCCGAATTGCTAATGATAACACTAATACTCACCCAAAAGGTCCAATCGTTCACTGCATACAAAAAACTATTAGAAAGAGTTAGTAGATATGTTAATAAAGCAAAGAACAATTATACAAGGAAAAAAAATTCCAGACCCATCTGAAGGATCTATTCTGCTCTAACTATAACCGAAATTGACATGAAACTTGTCAAAGAATTAGTGGGTGGGTATTAGTAAGGTTTACAAGATGATAATAATAATAATAATAATAATAAAAATCCACCTGAACGACAACAGCAATGTAGAATTTACTCCAAAAGAACGAAACCGACACCAATGACACAATTGCACCAAAAGAAGAAAAGGTTTATATATATTAAAAAAAAAAAAATAAGAATATCCACCTGAATGACGACGACGACAACTTAAAGTTTACTTCAAGGCAATTCTGAAAAGACGAAACTGACACTATATATATGGGAACCCCACAGCAAAACAAACCAGTGGGCGAAAAAAAATTTTTTTTTAAAAACTCAATTTCTCAAAGAATTGAAGTATTAGAAATACAATTTTTATAAAATTACAAAAACAAAATTTTTTGCCCACTGGTCTGTTTTGCTATGGGGGTCCCATATATAAAAAAAAAAATATATACCTGAATGACAATGGAAATGTAGAATTTACTCCAAGGTGATTCTGAAAGGACGAAATTGACACCAATGACGCAATTGCACTGAAAGAAAAAAAAAGTTTATATATATATATATATATATAAAAAAAAAAAAAAAAAAAACCACCTGAATGATGATGAAAACATAGAATTTACTCCAAGGTGATTTCAAAAGGACGAAACCGACACCAACAATACAATTGCACCAAAAAAAGAAAAAGGTTTATATATATATAATATAAAAAAAAAAATTTGCCTGAACAATGATAGCAACATAAAGTTTCTCCAAGCCAATTCCAAAAGAACGAAACCAACACCAACGACACAATTGCACCGAAAAAAGAAAAAGATTTATATATATATATATATATATATATATAAAAATAAAAAAAAAACCACCTGAACAACAACAAAAACGTAGAATTTACTTCAAGGTGATTCTGAAAGAATGAAACTGATACCAATGACACAATTGCACTGAAAGAAGAAAAAAGTTTATATATTTATATATATAATATAAAAAAAAAAAAATCCGCCTGAACGCGACGGCAACGTAGAGTTTCTCCAAGCTGATTCCAAAAGGGCAAAACCAACACCAACAATGCAATTGTACTAAAAGAAGAAAAAGGTTTATATATATATATATATATAAAACAAAAAAAAAAACCCCCACCTGAATGACAACAGAAACGTAGAATTTACTCCAAGGTGATTCCGAAAGGACGAAACTGACACCAATGACACAATTGTACCAAAAGAAAAAAAAGGTTTATATATATATATAATATAAAAAAAAAATCTACCTGAACAATGACGGCAATGTAGAGTTTCTCCAAGCCGATTCCAAAAGGACGAAACCAACACCAACGACGCAATTACACTGAAAAGAAGAAAAAGGTTAAAAAAAAAAAAGAACAAGTAAAAAAATATATATCTACCCGAACAGCATTTACAAAGGCGACAACTCCACGGCAACGAAGAGTTTACTCCAAGGCGAATCCAAAAGACAATGCAATTATATCAAGAAAAAAAAAAAGGTTAAAAAAAAACAAAAAAAAAAAACAACGGCAAAAAAAAAAAATAAACAATGATTATCAGATTATCATTGTTTATATATGATTGCCAATCTCAAAAATGTTTGGCTGATCATATAAGGGTCACCATGGTGACAGGTCACCATTTCCTTTTTGCCTTATTTTAATTATTTATTTTAATTATTTTTACTTATTTTTTTAATTTTTAAATTTTTTGATTTAATTTAATTTAATTAATTTAATTTACTTGTTTTTACATTTATTTATTTAATTTACACGTTTTTATATTTAAGTAATTTGATTTATTTTTAATTATGGCATTTTTTTATTATTTTATTTTATTTTTTTATGGGTTTATATTTATTTTATTTTATTTTACATTTTATTTTTATTTTATATACATATTTTTATATTTAATTTGATTTGATTTGATTTGATTTGATTTTTTTTAATTATTTTTTTAATTATTTTTACTTATTTTTTAACTTTTTTAAATTTTTTTATTTAATTTAATTTAATTAATTTAATTTAATTTACCCATTTTTACATTTTATTTTATTTAATTTAAACATTTTTATATTTAAGTTAA